TCTCTCTCTCTCTCTCTCTCTCTCTCTCTCTCTCTCTCTCTCAACCTGATCTCCTCCCTCCGCACTCCACCCATCATCTACCCTCCCTCCTCCTGCCCTTCCTCCGCCGGGCTTCTCCCTGCCGCCTATCCCTTTCCTCCCGGCCTCCTCCCAGCTTCCTCCTCCTCTTCAACCTCCCACCGACCTCCCTCCGCCGGACCACCTCCCTCCACGGATCTCCTCCCTCCCCTTCCTCCACACGATCTCCACCTCCGCCATACCTCCTCCCTCTCCCGCTCTTCTCCTTCCCCTGCCCTCATCTGCCTTCCACCCGACCTCCTGCCTCCCTACATTACTCGTTCCACCCGACCTCCTGCCTCCCTCCATCCGATCGCCCTCCCTTCTTTCGCAACGTCCGACTCTTCTTTTCTCCTGACCTCTTCCGTTCCGGTATCTCCTTCCTCCCCTTCCTCCGCCCGATCTCCACCTCCGCCTGACCTCCTCCCTACCCCGATCTCCTCCTTCCCCTCGGTTCCTCCACCCGATCTCCACCTGGCCACCTCCCTCCATTCCTCCTTCCACCCGACCTTCTGCCTCTCTCCTTCCTCCGTCCGACGAGCCTCGCTTCTTTCGCAACGCCCGACCTAAGAAGCGCATTTCTTTTCAAGATCTGAACAACGGTGAACGCGCACAAGAAAGAGACAAGGAGAGGGAGAGAAGAAGAGAGGGAGAGAGGGAGAGAGGGAGAGAGGGAGAGAGGGAGAGAGGGAGAGAAGGAGAGGGAGAGAGGGAGAGAGAGAGAGAGAGACATTTCCCTAACAACTCTTCCACATCCTCATGCTGTTCCTTCCCCGCACCTTCCTTCTCCGCCATCCAAGGTACGTCTCCCGTCCCCTCAAGCTCTTCCTCCTCAAGATTCTCCTCGACATTCAAGACCTTAAGAATAATTATCGGACTGACCCACGTAAGGCATTTCAAGCGATCGATTCTTCCAACAGTTCAGGCTCTTCGTCCCCAATCCCCAACACCCGACACAGTGAGTCAGTCCTCTCTCTCTCTCTCTCTCTCTCTCTCTCTCTCTCTCTCTCTCTCTCTCTCTCTCTCTCTCTCAGGCGCGCGCGCGCGCTCTCGCCCTTACTAAGGCCGAAAAACGAAATCTGACGTTAACGTAAGTTGGGAAAAAACGAAAAACGAGATTCACTGTCTAGGTCCGGCACAAAGAAGGGAGGAAGGAGGGAGGGAGGGAGGAGGAAGGGCCGAGGGAAAAGCGATGCTTGAAAAAATAGAAAAAAGTAATGTCAGCGGAGGAAGGAGAGAGGGAGGAGGGTCGAGGGTAAGGTAAAGCCACCGGAGGAAGAAGGGACACAGGAGGGAAGGGGGGAGGAAGGAGGGACGGAGGGAGGAGGGCCGAGGAGGGACGAGAGCCGAGGAGGGACGAGAGCCGAG